ATTAGAAAATTACTATAAGAACATTAGGTTAAGGTGCACAAATTCAACAAGTATATAAGCATCATGAATGTTTAATTTCTGCAATAATTTTTTTCCACGTTAGATAAAATAAAATCATTGATTTCAAGGGAGAATTTATATTTCAAGATGTCAGAAGTTGAACATTTAGATAGCCAGTTCTAGTATCGATATTATGGGTTGACTTTCTTGAAGTGAAATAATTCGGACAGAAGAAAAAGAAGTGTTCTGAATTTTCAGAGGGATGGCCACCAGAACAGGTCGAGTTGGAAGAGAAAAGATCAATTAATTTATCAAAATCTAAATCATTTGAATTATTTTTAAGTTGGCAAAGGACAATATTTCATTTTCTAGGACTACAGTGCAGGAAATTAGGAGATACATTTGTAACATGGATTCTATCATTATTCAATATAGATTTGAAAATATTTAATGATGGTGCTAACGATAATTCTTGGTTAAGAGAGTTCCATATTCTCATGACATCTGGAAAAAGATATTACCAAACAAATTAGTTCTAAAACGAGGAATGTTACATAATCTGTGTTGTCTAAGATTACGACCTGTAACACCATAATTGATATAGGGTTCAATAATTTTATGCAAGTGATCACGTGTAATATAATTTAGAACTTTATGCATTAGGACAAGTTGATGATGGCTTGAGGATAGTAGTGCAAAACTTGTTTCAATATATCATTTCTGATGTGATGATCAACCTCTTAACCCAGTGATTATCTTCATTGAATCAATTTGAACAGATTCTAATAATTTAGCTTCACCAATAGTACAATTACTCCAAGCAACATCTGCACATTCAAGAAGCGATCTGACAAAGGAACAATAAAGAGTAATTAATATGATATCATAATTCAAACTAAAATCGATGGAACAATGCAAGGTTGGAATATAGAGAATATTTACAAGAGTAAATAGTGTAATATAATATATTCCGGAATAGTAGTCGTCGTCTTTTTATAACCGCATTGGCCATGTAAATATTGGTCAAACGCTATCAAATGAGAGCCAGGAACACCGAACCCAGCAGGCATACTAACGTAACGAACATTGAACTTCATATCGCACAAAGACAAAGACTTATTACATATTGGCCTGGATTTATATCGCGGTAATCGTGATACTACAACAGTAAATCTAGATTTATCATCATCTAAAAACAATATTTTATTATAATTCAAATTGATGTCCAAACTGAAACAGATATCTATAACCTTATTGTGAAATAAATGTCAGCTTTCAGCGCAGTATATAAAATCTGTAAGTTATCAGCAATTCGGGTAAAAAATGAGAAGGTAAATGATAACATCCTGGCTAGAACATTTTGTTTTTATCATCTGGATCATACATTACACAAACTGATGTGAATTTATAGTGTGTGAAAAATGTTGATACTCCAATCAATAGTATTTGATAGCTATGTAACAAAACAATGATATGTTAATGATAATCATTATGTACAAACACCGACACATCAGGGACAGTCGTTATGTACAAATGACACATCGGGGACAATCATTATATACAAACAACGACACGTATGTGACAATTAATGTGGACAAGTAATGACGCATCAGGGACAATCATTATTTACAAACAACGAGCAATATGGAACAATTATTATGTACAAGCAACGACACATATGGGACAATTAATATGGACACGCAATGATACATCAGGGACAATCATTATGTACACATAATGACACATCAGTGACAATCATTACGTACAAAAATATGACACAACAAAGACAACCATTATGTTCAAATAATAACACATCAGAAAAATCAGTATGTCATTTTGGCATTTTTTTTTCTGCCATGACTATAATCTAATGACATTGTCGTAAACCATATAAACTGCCGGTATTTATTCTCCATTGATAGTTGAGTCTTTATAAAGTAGATTCTTCTTGTGTCTTTTTTCTGTCGATATACTATTGTGGTTAGAAGGGATTACTAACTGAGCTAGGTGACCGCTGTTTCAGCTTTCCAGAAACATAGGACTAATCAGGATTCACAACTCTGTGGCATTGAATTGTATATTGTACTTGTTAAGCTTGTAATTCCATACAGAGTAATAATGTACCAGTCGATGTATGCATTATTGTTAGATGTGGTTGATCTTTAATCGGATAATGACCTTACTGTACGGACGGAGTATGTTACATCAAACAATACTGCCTCCTTCACAAACGCTTCGATAGTTCCAATCAAGAATCATCTGATAGTGTTTGTCACATTTGGAAATGAAACAGAGCGAACCAAAAATGTGTAAATAAGTTTATAAAAGTGAAACAATTCATATAAGACCATTGTAGTTCCTCGGAAAGAAAGATATCGTGTTTTAGATTACCGTTCTACGTATCTAATCAATTCAGATCGGGGAGCCGAACGTCTGTAATGACAAGACTCTGTTACATTCGATCTATTGCAGCGCCTTCTAGCCCGTCAAAGTCGAAATTGGTACGGTGAAAAATTACGTAGAAATCCAATATAAAGCAAAATGAAACAGAAAAGAAATGTAACCGGCCTCTTATAAATGTAGGTGTTTAACGTTTCGAAATGGAAAGCAGACAGTGATAGGAAAATGCATTTGGAGACAGAAATAAAAAGTTTGGTCCATTTGTCTAGGATTCGTGAATATCGTTACGATTCTCTGTAAGACTGATTGATACAAATGTTAAAGAAATTCTGCGAAATATTTTCGATACAAAAAGGTCTAGTTCAGTAACCAGTTTACATTTAACATGGCAGATTGGAAATTGAGACAAGAAAGGATTTCCACGTATATGTACCAAACATTGCTATCAACAAGTTGACTTTCACTCTTATTAAACACTGTAGATTTTTACTATGTTATGGTAATACACAAAAAACCTGTTATACAGAGATTTAGAGGCAGATAAATGTAGATAAAAGCCTAGTTAATTCACCGACAAGTAAAAGCTAACATAGTGTATCCATTGTTTTACTATTACTTTGATGGGAGTTCAATTTCCCTTCATCATATTGTCATCCACGATACTAGTCCATACTTATTAAAGTCATTGGCATTTGTTGTTTAGACATTTTTTTGAACATCTTCTGTTATATATTCTCGCCAGCGTATCAGTCATGTGGTGCAAACTTATAGTACAATGCAATTAGATTGCCGGAACTGCTAGCGGCCGGTATTCATAGAAATTACGTGGTTAGTCATAGATGTGTTATTCCTGAAAGGTATTTGATTGTGTCATGTGTAACGTTTGTTCATAAAAACAGGTTTTTTTCCTTTTCGTATCGGATCAGTTACAGTGTCCGAAACGTTTGGTGGTATTCGAATGAACATTTATTACCGGAAACACACGGTTTACGGTAAAGTATCAACCATTCACATAGATACACGTTCCATTATTTTCATAGGATATCGTTCAATGGCATTTTGGTTATCATAATTTTTTATTTTCGCTTGGCAGTAATGAAAATCTTTATAAACGTAATCATTCCAGTTTGGAAAAGAGTTAATCAATTGATCAAAACAACGGACTAGATATGTTCCTTTCAACGACAGAAATCACCTATTTATATATCATTGAGTATTAACAAGATTACAATTTATAGCACCAACATTCTGATTTCTGCACCATGGTTTAATCGTGTAACAAAGGAGTGGGTCATGAGATATAAAAATTCATCGATTTCCACAGGTTTATAGTCAAACACGACTCTCCCTTCCAAACCTCAAACTACTTTAAACCCTTGCTGGAATAGTGCATGGTTAAACATAAAAAAATATACATCTCACTTGTCTACACTGTGGGGACACATCGGATTCAGATTCGCACTTTCACAGCCGCTTACTGACGCCATGAGATAACGACCTGACATGTCATTCCCCGTATTGAAGCCAACTTGTAATGAAAACAGACTACCACGTGTTCAATCTGCAGTACATCATACTGGAGACACATACTGGAGATACTCGCTCGATCGCTCCAATCCTCATCAACGACGCTATAGAACTCCCATTCACTCCGTTTCTGATACTCTGCTTGCCATGTTGTCATTATTGTACAGCCACGAAACGTTGATGTTCGTACTCTCCACGATAGTACAATGATAAAATACCTAGTATTCAATTTGCATTGTTGACAGCCAGACACTATACCATAACAATAGGGTACTCGATTTTCAGATTGATGCTGTGTATTTGAAAGCACCCCAACACTTTAAATGTGTTTTCCCTTTTTTTTTAATTTCTGGCAAACAGTCATTCATCAAGTAACTAATGAACAAGCCATTTTCTGTGTATTTTTATTCATTTTGTTTTGTCAAACTTTTTTTTCTATAAAATGACTTATCAAAAGCTAAAAGTTCATTGCAATAGTAATTATTTTGTGAAAAACCCATCCAATTCCAAGTCGAGATGAAAACAATAACCATTGTAAATGTACAGTGTCACAACTTACATGTACTTCTTCTTAATGAGCACTCTTATGAAACATATGGACGTAACTTTCTTTTTTGTAATATACATATCACAAACCATGAAATACGGAAAGAAAGAAAATCAAAGAGAACTTAATATATGCAATCTATAACGAACATATATGATATTCTCCTATGGTGTATTCGGTTTGATTAACTTCAGTTCTACATCTTCATTACACAAAACAAACAGGCGGAGAGTGAACATTATTTCAATATTCACATATCTTATAGATATGAAATTGTCTGACACCTGAAAAGGGTGTGATGATATTACATGTACATCGATGAATATATTGGACATGTTAGAACAACACAGTTGACAATATTTCATATCATGAAAAACTGTGCAGGAGCTGTTCGATTATCTGTAGTGTAACGGAACCACATCGTACAACACGCTTCAAATGTAGTGAAAACAACCGAGATGTTTAAATAGTAATTTATTACGTACTTAGTCTATTTACATGCATTATGTATTACAGGTATACAAAATTAAACCTCCTCTATTGTCATCCGGGACACGTATTCCTTATATAATATACATCCTTTTTCGGGATCAACGGCAGCTGATAACATTTCCTCCATTTCTTCCTGCTGGAACGGTTCTCCTGCCAAACAATACAACAACTACTGATTAAATCAGAGCTTACATCAATCGTATTCCAAGAATAAACATAATGCTTCATTGTCAATATGCGTTCGCATTGCAGATGATGAATAATTTAATTGGATACCAACAACAGGTAAATACTGCCGGCACCAAACGATCTAACCCATCACTTAGTCAGTCATGGAAACGTGGAATTTCATTTATCGGCACAGAACTTAACGTTTAAGAAAATTACGAAATCTATTGAATTATGGAACAAGTGCACTTTGCTATCTAGATTCTGACATTTCTTTCGATCACTTTAGATTTATCCCACTCGCCTCGTTGGTTTCAACTTCTAGGCATCACAGACGAGTCATAGAAGGACGAAACAGCTGTGTGATGCAGTTTAAATCATCGTTCGGTTCTACTGAGTCTAACCAGGTGTTATTCACTTGTGTTTCTTTTGTACAACTTTCACAACTTAAAACTGACACATCGTTTATGTTTTCTAAAAACTAGTCAGATTTACTATAGTGTAGTAATCATGATAAGTGTTCTTAAACATCTGTTGACACCCCGGTATGTAAGTATTGAAAATATACTACCTAGCAGTTTCAAAAATTACGCTCGAGAAAGCGTTGTCGGACTTAATATTCCAGAAATGAATAAGACTCTCCGATATCGTTGACAAGTATCAATATTACTCAATCAATTGGGATTCAGAACAGTTTTTCATAATATACTGTTTTCATTTGAGGATCCGATGTACAAAAGAACCCAAAAGGCAACACAAATGTTGAAATCGTTCACTTAGGGACGAAACGGACACCTGCACGTCATCATTTCAGTAAGTTTTACTGTCTTGGAATATCAATACACTTCTATCAATATTCTACAATCGTGAATGTCTCCTTTTCTTTTCATACATTACTTCGTTTGGTACATCAACGTAATAACTGAGAAATATGTAAAAGCAACACAAACATTGAAATAAAATTTGGCCATGCCGGAATTCCTTCTTCCTAGGCAAATAGGAAAAGTGCTGTGGGTCCAAATTTTATGAATATTCAATCAATAGCAATATTTTTTTAACAACCATTGGGATCATAAAGATAAGGACTAAGGAAACATAACCAAACAGCACAGTTAGACACCGAAGCCTCGCAATGCCGGGAAGAAGCTGTCAATAGTCAACAGGCTATCAACATTCAACAATTGGATGGATTTTGTTTTGTTTATTTGTTTTTTTTTTTTTTTTTTTTTTACGCCTGTTCAGTTCAGGTCGACTAGAAATGCATATGTAAGGACTTCAGAAAAACAACCAAATAATTTCTAGAAATGTCAAACCTTACAATATCGTATATTTGTATCAACAATAATCAACTAAACTCATCCCCGTATCTCTTTATGTTTTACCGTTTCGTTTAAATCATCATTGAAAATAATTGGCAGCCAAAAGGGCCCCACACTCACCGTCCTCTGACATGTACTTGGCTAATTCCTCCTGTGTAAGATGGCCCTTATTGTCGTGGTCCAACACTTGGAATGCTTTCAACAGTTGGTCTTCTGGTAGAGGCTTGTACCTGTAATAGTTCCAAGCGATTAAAGCACTGAACTTAGATCTAATTATCTGAAGAAAAAAAACCAAACTTGATTATACAATTCAATGCGTGACATCAGATTTTTGTCTTATTATTCCATTTACTCGGCTTCGGATGTATTTCTCACTATCCCTGCTCGCGTTTATAACTTGATTAACAAAATCGAATTTTCTCTAATACGGCGCACGGAAATCCAATTATGACACCAGTGTTGTAATGTTCTTCTGTTTAATGTGTACGAGGAAAGCAGTACTGTAAACTGAATAATCAGTAGTATTAATTGAGTTTGTTAAAAACTTCCCAGAAAATAAATTGAAGTTAAAGTGTTATTCATGATCTTTTCCCTGAATAATATTTTCTTAATCAATGAAACGAGTAGATTAGCTTTGCAAAAATTTCATTTTTATGAACTTTCATTCCTTGCTATAGTAAATCATATATATATTCTAAATGGATTTTAAATGAATTGTGGACCGTACCGTCTCTCCATTAATACTTTTGTCATCATAGGCAAAAACTTCTCAAAACGAATATATCCTGTTGGTTCCTCCTCTTCAATCTGTGGAAACATTTAATTTAATTATTTTGCATAAGACTGGCGACAAACTTTACTGTTTACATAAAGCATCAAGTGATATTTTAAAATTTCAAAAGACATTCATATATGAATGGCACCTTCATTTATACGGAATAATTAACAGATCTGCGTCATTCCACTGTTTGTGTTTCTGAGTACTTTTAGAGGTGCTCAGAGCCACATATCCAGGACAAATCTTGAAACTGAAATAGGCCTGAACAAATGTGAAAGTATGTTGATTTAAGTGCAATAACTGATTAGTCAAATTATAGAACTTAAAATTTAAGTATTGCATTTAATTCGAACAAGTTCCTGATATGATTTACCATATCATTTGTGACTCAAATGATTTAGAGGAAGGAACAGGACAAAAAAGCAACACAACGTTTCTTCAAAGACGGAAACAGTGTGTAATTTAACCTTCTATTTGCATTTGGTATGTGTGCACTGTCACTGGAACTGGTTCACTTACTATGACCTACATTATGACCTTTCACCTACATCAGAGAAAACGTTTGTTTTTGCTCTATCTTTTGTATTGGAACTTTATACTTGGGAAATGGGTCAGATAGTTTAGGTAGTGTGACCTGTAATAAAAGTAGGTCACTCTTACCTCTGTTTTCACCTTTGACCTCCATCAAAAAACTAATTTGTCTATTCCATACACTACATTTACTTGAGACAGCTTTTTCATACTTGGGGCATGGGCTGACTTAGGAGAAGATAAGCGTCATGAACCTAAAGTAAGCCAATTTCACCTACATTTTGACCTTTGACCTATACATCAATAAAAAGTTTGGAACTCAACATGAAGATTATCAAATTCGTTCACATTTATTCCATGAATTGTAATTGAGTAATGAAACACAGTGAAATATGGGATTTAATGGTAAAAATGGGCCCACTTACTGGTAAACATCCTGCAGAGTTGTTTTGTAATAGTAGCACCAACACTATTCCTAACTGAACACATTTGTTTTGTCAAACATCCAGTGTCTAGAATTAGTCAAATTCATTATCTGTGCATTCCTTGAATTTAATTTCCCATTCTGTGGGGGACTGTAATTTGTCAATTACTTGCCTTGTTCTTTAATGACTGAGCAGGCATTCAGATAATTAGTGTTTGGCAAGAATATCAGGTATAGGTGGTGCAATTCTATCAAATATTGCTCAGTGTATTGTACACAACTGTAACAATTCATCACCAAGCTATTAGTGTAGGTAAGTATAAACACTTACCTCTGCAAGCATATCATGGAGCTCGGTCTCACTTGGGCAACAGCCTAATGAACGAATGATTGTACCCACTTCCCTAAATACAATAAAATAAAGGTGATTAATCAGATGAAATAGTCGCATATCCATTACTTTTTCATGATCAGATATGTCATATCCATTGTTATTTCATTATCAGATATATCATATCCATTACTTTTTCATTATCAGATATGTCATATCCATTATTATTTCATTATCAAAAATCATAACCATTGATACAATACAGATATTATAAACCTTCATTATCAGATATATCATATCAAAAAAATTATTCTCAGGCATTGTTCATTAACTTTTCATATAAAAAACCACATTATTTGTTTGATATACTTGAAGAATACAAATAATTACTATAATGATGTTTACTTTGAAATCATGTTTATAACAATTTTTTGTATGTCTCATACTAATACATATTTTCAAGGAGACGACTGATTGCATATACTTAAAATTTCAAACCCCAGAAAAATATTTTGACAAACTTATGCCTGAATCAAGTACACTAAAACTTGAAATGAAAATCAAGAATTTCTCTTCTTGATCAAGAGGTCTGTCAGAAGCATCTAAGTAACCAGGAATTAATTAAAATAAAACACTTTCACAAAAATATTTAAAATTAAAATTTACGTTCTTAGGCATGCTTTACATGCATTAAGAACATGTTTTGTGTATACGCAAGAATGCATTTAATTGCAATTCTTTTAAATAGAATAAGATTTTAATTTGTGAGATGAGATTGGTCAATATCTGTTTGTTAAAAAGATCATTAAATAACAAATCATTCTTTACTGACAAATATATTAGCAATTTGTGGGAGAAGGGGAGTAACTCAGATGGATTATTTGCGAACATTGAAATTGCTCCAAAATTAAGTTATATTGAATATCCTATACAACAATTTTTGTGTTATTATTCTCATAAAAAGAGATTTCCGAGCAAAAAAGGTCACACATTCGTAGAAAATTTATATAGTTATTTGCATAAGCCCCTCAATCATCTTTTTTTCATTTTTTTTTCTTTTTAGTAGATTAGGAGATCAGCTGAAACTATATATAAGATTTTCATCAAATTACCTGACATCTACTGTTTTGTTATTTTCATTGTCAAAAATGTCAAATGCATCTGTTATCCTTTTCTGGATATCAGCCAACAAAGAGTCTGGAAGTAGAAATGGGAGAATATTGTTTATATATATATAGCTACAATAAGTTGATCTCTACATTTTTACATGCCTAACTACACAATAAAAGATTAATGCATGACCAAGTCTTAAAGTGAAATTTCAATACTTAGTGGATCTTATTTTAAACGAGCACATCAATATAGGGAAAAACAATAAATTAAGAAATATTTACTTCTGCAAACAAAACCCTGCAGAAGTATTTGATTTAGCTATTCATGGTACCATAAAATCTGAAGGACTCTGACTATTTTTGCATACACATAATTCTTCTTTTTGTCAATGTCGCTGTCAATCAAAGGAAAGAAAATCTTGGATAGGTAGATATCATCAAACTGGCTACCAAGTGAGTGCTAACAGTGACACAGATTTGCATTTGCAGGTAATCAAACTCTTAATAAAAATTCATTTTGAAAAAATTAAAATCAAATTGAATTTTGATTTATTTTAGGTAGGTCTTCATGTTTATTTTTCTTTTTAATAAATCTGTATTTATATAGTAAATAAAGCATGCATAGGTTTAGTTATATGGTAATGTAATTCCTCAAATTACATTGTAGAAATAGCATTACGATTACAACTGGTTGCAATGTAATTAATTAAATTACAAAATATGTTTACAAAAATGACATTACCATATGTGTAAAGTAATTAATTCAATTACAAATTACATTGTGAAAAATAGCATTAGCATTACCATTACAACTAGTTGCCATGTAATTAATTAATTTACAATTTACATTGTATAAATGACATCACTGTTACAACTATAAATAATGTAATTAATTGAATTACAAATTATTTTGTGACAATGGCAATACCATAACAAATATGTAGAATGTAATGAATCAAATTACCATTACATTACATTAGTAGTGTATACAACTTTATAAACATGATAGAAAATAATCAATAGTTGCATGTTATGTAATCATAAAAGGTACAACTAAGAACAATATGTTTAAAAACATTCAATATAAATCTAATTATACTCTTTTAAAAAAAAATTCTATTTTCTCAATTTCATAAATCATATAGCAAAAGAATCAAATTTCAGAACTAATATTTTTACTTTGAGTTGTCAAGTATACTGTCAACAGAGCAAATATGTGTAAATATCTTCCATGGACACTAGTGATAACCAACATAGTTATTATGATTCATGGTGGCCAATATCAAAGTGTGCCAATGTGTAGGCCATGATATTTAAAACCAATATGAAAGCTAGTGGCTATGCTTAAAGCCTTTTGAATTTTTTTGTAAATTATCATTAAACATAACTAAAAAAAATCTTAAAAGTTATGCAAATAAACTTCTGTTACTGTTATTTATTGTGTATAGGTTTTTCAAAACTTCTGAATCACTTTTATATGTACCATTTGATCTACCAGATAATGACTGACTTAAACAGGTTAAGGTTTTGTCATTTATGGTTGGCAGCGACAAGAAATGGAGAGAAGGAAAATAATGTGTTTGCTGATGAAATTCCAATAATTGAAGGTCCTGGGAAAAAAGGATTCTTTCCTCACAGACCTTATCCAACAGATAGTGCGGACATTGTTTATGAGTGTCTTGAAGGTCTTGTAGTGGGAACCAGATGTTTGAGGTTGATGGCAACTTTGCTTTGACATATTTTATATTACATGGTCAGCCATGTGTCTTTTCTGCAATCAGCAAGGCTGAGCCATTTAAGATAGTCTAATATGTTTTCAATTCATAAGGTGTTATAAGGAAGCCTTGGGAGACCCTGATCTTACTGGGACAGTGTTTTTTCCTCTTCAACTATTATCACTGATTGATTGCTTTTACTCAGGAAGTTTTCAATCCAGGTGTTTACTTTCCCATAAGTCAATGGATTAAAAGTTGGTGGTTAACCATATCAAATGCCTTACTGACGCCCATGATAAGAACACCAGTTTGCTTCTCCAGTTCTATGTTATTTGTGATGTCATCAATAAACTCAATTTGCTGACTCTCATGTGACCTGAAGCCGTGCTGAAGGTGGGAAAGGATCTGATGAGTATCAGCATGTCTCACGATGTTACTAACAATAATATGCTCTAATAGTTTGCAACAGAACCATGTCATGGATATTGGACAGTAATTTTCTGGACTATAGTTTAATCCTTTCCTATACACAGGGGTGATATATATCTGTAGTCTTCCAGTCACATAAAATGTGACTGGTATCCAGGAATCGTTGGAACATGAGACGAAGAAGTGGTGTTATTTCTGGAACTAACTCCTGCTTTAGGCTTGATGAAATCAGGTCCTACAGCTTAGTTTATGTCTAGTTTAAGGAAAAGTTTTTAAATTACTTTGTTTTTATGTAGATATTAGGAATTTCGGGGTAATTACCCTATTTAGGATAATGTAATCTACAGTAATAGAAATGTATAAACACAAATGACAAAAATCTTGCATCACTACTGTACAATTGTACATTTGCACTATATACTCGCAACACAATAGAAATTAAGTGCATTTCTCAGGGGAAAGCATATACATTAGACGTTCTGCAGTCTCAAACTGTGTTAACATGGGGATATCCTCTTTGACGCCGTGATAGAAATTGGATAAGAATAAACTGACCAGGTAAATGTAAGTCATATAACCATTACTGAAAAATTGACCATGTATTTGTGAACTTGTATTGCAGCGGATGGTATGTACTCAAGCCATCATTTAACGTGTATTTGATTCTGGATGTCAATCAAAGTAAACGTATGATATTATACACATTCAAAACGTTAACAAATCCATATACAGTAAACAAACATTGTCTTACACAGCTAAATTGTTTACCTGTATTCTCTTTCTGTTCGTCGGCTCCGGCCATGTTGTTTACTTCGGTTGCCAGATAAAAACGGTTGATCAATATTACAAAATAAGACGTATACAAAAGATACATTAAACACAATTATAGTAACACACGTATGCATATAATATCATTAACATATTACAATTGTTTTGTAAAGAAAGAAAGGAGAAATCATGAAACGGATTATAGTACCTTTATTTTCCTTTTTATATTGATAAATTTTCCACATAATAAACATTGCTAAATATATATCAACCAACATGGCCGCGTCCACATGAAACGTTTACAAGTATAATTCGTTAATCTTGTTTACAACGATGTCAGGCTTAAAAGCACTTCTGATTGATGCCAAAGTTGACGAACTGCAAGTTGTTGAAACAGAGAATAATACAAAAAGTTTGTATTTCACAGGAATAGGAGCAAATGATAAGTGGAAAATATGTTCCACAAATGGAACGGATGTATGGAAAGTGGAGCTTGATGCTGACGAGCTCGAATCCTATAAGGATGCAGCAGAAGTCAGTACGATAGAAGCGTTTTTGTCCAAATTCAGGTAAAGTTCAGTTTAATTTTACAAAATCCCATACACTTGTTAAGTTATTTCTATATTTCAGGTACTCGTATCAAATGGAATATACATGTACCGATTAAATGCCTTTTGGAATTTCTCAATATAAGTACGGGTGACTGTGTCAGGCAGCCATAGACTCATATATTTTTATGTACAACTACCTGATTTTGTCTTACTTTTGCTGCTACTAAAGTTTATATGAGCACTATATATCTTAGAACACGTTATGAAGCACAACATGAATTAAAATGTATTTTAAATGCCCAACATTTAATGATTAAAAAAAAAGAGAGAAAAATACTTACATACATACAAACATACATCTCATCAACCTTTAAGTCTACATGTAAATGGGAAGATATATGTGTGATAGGAGATATATATAAATGTGCTTGTTTTGACATCTCAGGGGAGGTAACTGTGCTTCTTAGGATAACAATTTTTATTGACTTGCATTGTTTCTTTATAATATTAGATTATACCTGAGCTACTTACATTTATCAATCCTCCCAATTTCTTTGTGTGTCTCCCTCATTTTCAGTCTCAATTGTTCCTGTTGGATATTTGCATAAATCAGTGAAATCATCGAAGATGAACAATATTACACCATATGGCTTAAGTTACTCAAAAATGTGTAGTGTTCTACCATAGATTAAGAACTGGCAATGGAATTAAAGTGAAAAGTTACACTTGTTTTGTAAAAATGTCACAAACATAAGGATATGTAAATGTTGAATATTCAGTTGAAAATTTAATGATTAGCTGCAAGTTTGGCTTCAAAGTCATTGAATAGCAAGATCAGAACACAGACTTAATTTACTCTGTAGATGGCTGACCTCTGCTGATTTCCTGAATTCATAAATCATTGTTTTTGCTAATGTGTACATCTAGCAAAGGTCATATCATCCTGACATTTAATAACGATGTGATCAGTAATTTGTTTTGTTTTATTTTTTTATTTTAGGAAAGGTTTTCTTGGGGGAGACATAACAACACTTGTTGGAGGAACAAAGATAACGCTTAATATAGGTAAAGGAAGTGACAAAATAGCAGTTGATGTTTTTGAGGCAAAAGCAGCAGAAAGGAAAACAGAATTACAGAATGTGTTGTTTCGATTAGCTGACAAAAATATGTCGCTCCAGGCAGATTTGGCTGCTGCGGAGAAGACAGTGGTGGCCTTAAAGGCCCAGAAAAATCAGGGAGCATCTGGATTTTCTTTCAATGATGTTGGTCCAAAGACTGCCAACCAGTCTAAAGCGAGACCAAAAACAGGAATGAGTGCTATCAACCCGAACAGTAAAAAGAGAAAAGCAGCCACTGGTGTTGTGTTTGATTAAGTATACACAGACAGAAAAGTTTTATATTTTGAAATAATGTCAAATATTGCTATGTATATTTACAGTGTATCAATTCAAAATTGTTGTATGCCTGTCCAGTAAAGATTTCATTGTTGGAAGTAGGAATTTCAATATCTAAATTAATTCTTCTCATTTGTAAATCAGTCATATCTGTTTTTCATGAATTGAAGGAAAATTACTTTGAAATTACATATGAACGATATACCGATGTGTATTGTTTTAATTTCAATCACAACTTTTATTGGTTCATCAATTTGATATGGTTTACCAATATATATGATACTGGTATCCCTGTCTTACATTTGGTACTCGCTACCTGATGACAGATTCATATTCCTACGCATAGTTATTTACAACGGCAGCTAACTTGAAAGAAAAAAATGACCTTAGTTACTATGACTGCCGCTGACTTGATAACTCAATTTTATTTGATAGCGAAAATTTCATTTCCATCAAACAGTGATATTGTGTTCAAATAAAAAAAATACAAAATTTCTTCTATCCACTTATAGACAAAAATCCCACAAATAATTGTTTTGAATCGTATATTTGAATTCTAGTTTATCTAATACCAATCAGTTAAAAGAGATATATTAGCTTCAAACTGAATATAAATTATGTACATATCAGGGGAAATATGTTTTTAAACATGAAATATGGAAGCCTGGTATATATGGGATTTCAGACCCTGTATAACCCTGAAATTCAGTGTACTGTATAGATACTTGTACAAGAAGAACTGTGATCACTGGGACCTAAATGATTTTTCCCTTTTAAATTAAACAATATTATGTATAGTCATTTTTATGTTGTATTATCTATATAATTTGTATAAATTATGATGTGTGTACATATTGGTTTTGGATTTTGTTTTAAATGGCATACATTATGTCAGTTAGGCATTCCTATAAACATGTAGATTTACCTTTAAGACAGAAAATCATCTTCACAATTTGCAGGAATCCAGTCCACACAGAAACAAAATATCTTATCAGAAAATAGTTATCTTCAAAAGGAAAATTCTTACAAACAGAAAATCAAGCTTGGAATTTCAAATAAATATCATTTCCCCAATGGTGGGAGGACTCATTCTAATCACTATTTTATCTGTTTGTAAAGAAGAAGGTTTTTTTTAGTTCTCAAAACATCATTTCTGTTTTGATATGTTTAGATAGTTTTAGTTATATCCCATGAAATGGTAAAACATTATCATGATGCCACAACAAAATCTGTTCTTACACAATTAATTGTGTTATTTTGATTGGGTTTAACATCCTGGCAACTACCAAGGTTACATCGAGAGGGTCACAAAGACTGGAATGCAAATCTATTTAGGTCATTTCAATGTCCTCTCAGTAAGCACAGAAGAAATCCTCTGATTATATAGGGGGTCAATTTTATCATGCAGTTGTTTGTGGAATACAATAGATTTTATTCTTGGGCTCCCCTCAATTTAAGACATCAGAGAAACTCCAAACACCATCTCCCAATCACTGATTGACCCGAAAGATGCGCCCAACAATAAGTTGTCTCATTCGATAAATGACAACTTGGATTGCCAATTCAATGACTCGGTTTCGTTATTGTATTGCATCAGAAAATGATGCAAGTGTGTCAGTATCATGGTATTTTTTGGACAAATGTGTAATGTATCATATTTTGTGACACATTTCATCAAGTTTTCTTTTTCTCTTACATACACTTTGAAATGGAAAACACTGTAGATCTCTGCATTACACATGCTGTATATCTACCACTCAGAAATCGTAATAAAACTGACATGAGACTATGACAAGTGTTAGTGACGCGTTACGAAAGTCTATGATTTCTGCAAAATTGACAATGATGGCATTTCCTTACATAGCAAGTAATGGTTCATGTGATGACTTTGAAACACATCAACAAAATCTTGTGGTAATTTGTACAATGTAATATGAAAGTGGGAACAGGAGTGTCAGACTACAGATACTTTTTTATGTACATCAATAAATGTTTCACCACAGAAAGTAATGGACATTCCATTATATTTTTGATACTCTAATGCAGGGCTAGCTCCGGGGTAGAATTCAGATAAGCCAACCCTAGTATTATTGCAACAGTTCAATAAAAAATGTGTCCTACGTGTATGAGAGAGTTACAGTAAGTGTACATCACAAAATCTAATGCTGATTCAGAAAGTTTGTTTTTTTACCAAACTGAAAAAGGCAAATAATACAAAATCACCTATATAATAAAACCTTAAATCATATCTGCTACATGATACATAAGTATGTATAGCTGTGTCATCACATCAAATGCAGCTGCTATTAATCTACAATGAAAAAACATATGGGTGTCAATCATGAATTACATACAGTTTCATCACAATAAAAATTTTACTAACTGTACAAACACTGCTTGATTTACCATCATTCTGTATTACAACTTATAAGTATTTAAGTCTATTTGAGAAATGTTGAGTGTCACAAGCATGAGATGTCCATCACTATTTGGAGAAATTGAATACAACTCTAAACATCGCAGAATGTTTGATTATAGAAAGCTATCAACGTAAACCTGTATAAGATGGAGTGACTTTTAAACAAGTGGTACATTTTTTCACTATCTAGCAGTCTTTACCACTGTCATGTCTATATACATTATTGTAAAATCAATAAATAAGAGTCCATTACAATAAAACAAATAATTTGTTGTCTTTCATGCAGGCACAGTCACTGCACGATTTAAGTAGGTTAAAAGTTAAATGATATTTCATGGTCACGTTTCACTGAAAACGAGGCAGTATCCACATCAACTTCACCATTGTGGATGGACATTCTTATATGATTTTCAAAACGTCTGTGAACTAGTGTGCTCCTAAAGACTGTCTCGTTAAGGGTGTGATGACTGAAACCTCTGTAGCAGAGAATAGTGGAAACTGAGATGACAAGCGGTCGTTCAGCAGCTACAGCTAGCAGAAGTTTCCCTACACTAAATGGCCAACTTAGCCAAATCACTTATATTCCAAAAGCACTGACTGTTTAAGTCCTTAACTCTGTCACCTGTCTACACTCTATATTAGACCCTAAATCACACCTTTACATACCTGGCAAACACCTTGTTAATACTAGACAATGTCCAAGCACCCCGTTCTCCGTGAAAATAAGGACATCGACAGTAAAATGAAGGGCTGGGTTCACCTCGATGAAATCTATCGATATTGAAGACCATTGGCAAGGCTTGCAAATAATCGAACGGCGCCTTAACATAGATTCCAGAATGTACAAATAGGCTGTTGTCTTCCACAAAGACACCAACAAGACATGGACAATTGTCTGATTGAACAATATTCTCGAATCCCAACCACCCAGACCTAACATTTTTGTCTCCAAAATATCAATAACTACAATAAATGTGAATTCATTGACATTAAGATATCATTTAAGAGACAGAAAGTTTCGGTCTACCAACCACCTTGTGTGAAACACTTTTCTACCACATACCGAACAACTTCTAGCTCATCCTTTGTTCTTCCGCTGTTTAGGACGTCCTGAACATTTACAAGATATCTAACGCCATCAACTGCCGAACCAATAGCCAAAGCTATGCAGCGAATCCCTGTCAAACGTTGACACATCTCCTGTAAATGAATGATAACTCCCTTCCTGCACACTACCATTACAACACTAGTATAAACCCCTACCTACTATTTAACCTCTTGTCTGCAAACAATAGTAACAACTGAGACTGTCTGATGATGCAGCAGTCAGCTGCTTCATTCTTGATAAATATGCTGATGGTTCCAACTTACCTTCCACCTTCTCAAAATATAAAATATACAACCATATTCTGATGAACTGTCACATATGTAGATTAAGTGACAATACACACCAGTCACTAAGCTTACTGATTAATTTGTCCTCTATGACATGAGCTGGTGGCTGCTGAAACTCGTCAATGCTGGCGCGATGTCCTTATGATATGTGTTAGTCCATACAGGGATGATAACAAGGTAAATAGATATTTCATCAAGAATCTCGTATTGGTTACTGCTTTTATATTTTAAAGAACAATGAAACCATTTATAGTACAAAACTGTTCTAATCAGCTAAATTATTAATGAATGCATAATTCCTAAAAAGTTGCACACCTGGGCAATACATGGCTTGTTTAAGTGAGGAACCATCGTGTTTGCAAGCTCATGGGTGGATACAAAATGAACATTCTTTAGAGCAGCAGGAACCGCTGAGATGGCTGTGTCACACCTTTTGCATATCAACTGTCTGCGATATGTTTCCAATGCCGCGGAATGAGTGTTTTCATCCATAGATTTAAAAAAAAGATGAAAAATTAACAAATAATAAAGAACTTTATACCTAACACCGACTCCGTCCGAGCTACATTTTGAGTAAATGAGTAAAATTATGTTTAGGATAATGTATTATAATCAATCAAAATGGTGAAATTCCTGTGACATTTTTTGTCACAATTCAAAAAAAGTAAATGACGGTGAAATTCATTGTCTGTAAATGTACATGATGCTTTCAAATGTTTCACAAGACATTCCTTCTTCGTGACACTACGGTAAAAATTATTCTTAACTTCATATATAAGGACAGTAAGTAAGGTTGGTAGATTGGAGTTGAAAGGATCTATATTTCACATCCTCCACCCCTAATTTCTTCAGATTTTTTTTTCAAAATAAAAAATTGATAATAATGAGACTAAATTTTGTAAATTACATTTCAACAATTTCTCTCCTTGATCTACATCAGGCGTGACACTCGAGTCGTGTACTGATGCCAAAGGAGATCTCATCCAAGACATTGATTGAATTAATGTTTCAATGGAAATTGCTAAAGGAGAAGATGACACAGACTAAGGTATATGTATCAATACATTTATATACATACGTGTTAGTATACCATGTAACTAACACATTGATATTAGAATCATATTTCCTCTCCGCATATAAGTTTTTCTTCTGACAAAAATGTTTCCGGTGATTTCTCATTTCTAAGGCATTCTATACACATTTTCTTAAAACGTGAACGTGCGCTATTTTCTTGTATTGTAAATGAACGCTTAAGACTGGATTTATCAAACGAACCGTAACCTATGTATCTTCCTTACGAAAATATAGATCTTTATATTTAACTTCGGGTCATTAAAAAAATTTAGCGGACAAAGTGTCGAAAAAACAAATGACGACATCAAACGAATATGTATCTTCCTTACGAAAATATAGAT